CCCTTCTGCTCTTCATCCTCCTCTTCCTTCACGTCGTCTTCCTCGCCCTCGTCGTCACCGTCTTCAGAGTCGGCGACACTGGCCGTAAGGCCTTCGCCATCAATTCTGTAGTCGATCGCCTAGTCGAAGCGTAGGCGTCGAGCCTGCAAGACCAGCTTCGCCAAAGCGCCGGGCAAGCCCAAGACGTCGTCGTCATCGTCACCGTCATTGACATCGTCATCAGGGGGAGCCCAGGCTCGCGCCGAGACCAAGAATCATGTCGGACGGCTTTGTCGCCATCTTCGGCCTCGGAGGTGCCTCGCCGAGTCCTGGGATGAAGAAGCGATCCTTGGGAATGGGTCGGACCTTCTGGGCACCGCGGGTTGCACAAATCGGGTCGGTGCATGTCTGGGACCGGGAGGGGAGAAGGCTTTGGACGATCGCCCTGCCACAGCGTGCCCCTCTTGGGCGGAGGCCTCTGGAGGGGAGGGGAGGGGAAGGCACTCCGAGGTCTGCGGCGGGCTGGGCAAGACGAGCGGTCAAGCAAGCGCAGGGCTGCATCTGTTGCGAATTGAGGCACAGGGGCGGGCGGACAGGGGCGGGCGGGCGAGTGTGGGGGGCGGCCAGGGGATCTGAACTGGTTAGGGCCGCAGAAAAAAAAGTCAGGAGGGGCGGGGGGGTGGAACAGAGTCCGTTCCAAATCGGTCCCTGGTGCTCTCCCGGGGCCCATCTACTATTCCAATGTTTCACCCCGGATCTGTGTTTCATGGTCCCGGGGCCCGGGAATGGCACCCGGAGGCCGGAAACACAAAAAAAACGAAAACAGCTGCTACGAACCTGGGACCTCGAACCTGCCCGTCCACCTCAGACCCCCAGACGGCTCCGAGGCGTGGGGGCGGGGAGGGGAACACACACCGCTTCAGCAGCGACGCATCCGCGGCCTGGGGCCCGGCCAGGGGCCCCCCGCTGCCGACCAGTGCCCCGCCTGCCGACCCGCCCTGTCTCCTGTCGGCGGCGGGGCAGATCATGCAGCCTCGTCGCTACCAGGGGGGTGTTGCGACCAAAACTGGGCCGAACATCTGCCCGCATGTTGCCGAAACAGGCGCCCGAATTTGTCCGAACACGCCAGAGTGTGACCGGAGTTCTTGGTTTGACAACGCAGCGAGTTTCAATTTCGGTCGCAACTTTGGTCACCATATGTTTTCGGTCACAATTTCGGGCCGGTCTCGGTCACCGTTTTCTGTCTGGTCACGAACCTTTTCAGCCGATAGGGGCTGGGCGCCATGAGACAGCTGTCGGCGCATCGTCGGATGTCTGAGATGGGACAGTGGCTGGCCCAGCCCAGAACTGTGGACAATGTCTGCGGCGGGCGCCTGGGAGGGGTAGCAACGACGGTCGGGGAAACCACCTCACGCTGCGGCCAGGCGTCGAAGAAACAGTCTGGCGGCGGGGCCGAAACCAGCTGCGTGCAGCAAATATCCCCCCCCTTCCCACTCCCTTGCTGTCGTACGCCCAACGTCGTCCTCGTCGCCTGGTCACCGGCGGCCGCTCGGGACGATCCGGGCATCCCTGGAATGCTTTCGAAAAAGCGCAGCTGCCAGTGAGCATCCCGAGGCCGTAGAACCCCCGCGAGCTGACGAAAGCGCCCGAGAAAGCTCGAGCCTCTCAGCCACAAGCCTCGAACTCGCCCTCGCTTGGACGTCCACTCCCCGTGCCAGTTTCGGCTTCGTGCGCGTGTTTTTCACAAGATGCTCCAAGATGCTCCGCTATGGTTCTCGCGGAGAACACATGCACACGTCCGAGCGATGGCCAAGGACATCGGAGATCTCTGAGAACTGGAGGGTCTTGATTAGCAACATAAGGACCCCCGCACCTTGAGGGAGCCAAAAAGATTAGGGATAAGGGGTCTGCAGGGTCTTGATTAGCATCAGAAGTGCCCCCCGACCCTCGGGGAGACGACAGGAGAAGTCTTGTGCTTCTCCTGCAGATGGCTCACATCAAACCGCACATCTGCATCGTCGCTGTGCAAATGACGGGAACCTCAGTGAGGCCACGTCTCCACTATGCTGTTCGGGTCAGGGGTTCTCTTATCTTTGACGAGGTCCCGAGTCTGTGTCGGGCGCTGCGGCCGCTCCAGAGCGGCCCGGAGCGCGCGGCGGCGAGATGTCCTCACCGTGTGCCTGCCGATCCAAAGCACGCGCACGGTGAAACTCCCGCCTGCAGGGCCGACGGTTGGCCACTCCAGATTTCGTAATAAAAGGGAGGGGGTCTGGACCCTCCAAGACAAGCCATTTCAGACCTCCCCCGTGGGAGAACCCTCCAAAACATCGTCCCCAGACCCCCCAGGCCCTCCAAGATAGCCTGGATTTGTTTGACAAGCGCCCTGAACCCGAGCCAGCTCGGGTTGAGTTAAGAAAAGACTCGGACTAGTTTACCCGCCTGATGCGGTCAGTCCGAGCTGTCTGAAAGGGGTTGCTGGTCTGGATCGTGCTCACCCTCCCCCCGAAGCGGTCTGCGGGCCTGAGCAGACCCGACAGGCTCGGCCCGATCGCCAGCCTCAGACTCGCTCGCTTCGGCGGCAGGGTCAAACACTTCACAAAACACTCCAGCCAGTCTGGGATGTCTCCCCCTCCGCAGCGCCCTCAGGACCGAGGACGCGTACTTTGACTTCCTGGGCCCCTCGGGCTCTCGGATACAAGACTTACTGAGCTTCTTGAATCTTCCACCGCAGCTGTACCCGCAGCAGAGATGACAAAAATAAAGCATGCTTTGATTCGAACAGCGAAGGGCCGTGATAGCATGGCCCTTATCCCGTATGGAAAGGGCCACGTCAGCCGAGCACCCTGAAAGATCGGGCTTCACAGACTGTCTGCGGCTACGGAGACAGACGCTGCATCGCCAGAAAGTGGCACACCACATCCACTCATGTTGATACTGCTCCGCAGGAGGAGGCGGCAGCTCCAATACACGGGCAGGGGCGATAAAATAAACTCCGTCAAAGTTGAGTCTAGGCCAGGACGGGAGGAGACGGGCTGCCAGCAGGCCGACGCTCTTAGCAACTTTGAGTTGCCAGTCAACAAAATCCAGTTCGGCCTGAGAACCTTTGGCGTGCATGTCCACTCCTCGCTTGGCCGCTCTGTCGGCCTCGTCATTACCAAGCTTGAAAAACGCGGATCGGCCGTTAAATCTGGGGAATCCGCAACGTGGGCCTTCACCTTGTGAAGACTGGTCAATTTAGACTGAAGGGTATGAATCATGAACCCAGAATAAGGCCGCTTGTAGGAGAGACGCTTGGGCCTTTCCAAAAGAAAAGCTTTGCAAACATGGAGACAATCGCTGAAACCTTCAGAGGGCCCAAGGAGGCACAGAGACCCGTAGGCCAGGGCCCCGAACTCCGCCGCTTGGGAGGTCTGGGGGAACCTGTCCCAGAGGGGGGCCCACATGACACACTGCAAATCCCTATTACTATCGTATACAGCTAAGCCTCATCCTGCCCTGCTGAGTTCCTTAATTGCGTGCTTCCTACATGATCCGTCGAAGAAAACACTCCCAGATAATAAATGCTCGTCCAAATCATCATGCCGAGGAGCTTCCCAATGGACCATAGGGGGACATTCTCTGGAGGGCATCGGAAGGTGCTCGCTGGGGTGGGTGAAGATACCTTTCGTGAGCAGCACGAACTGGTCGTTCGAGACGGTGGCTAAGTCCACCTCGGAACTCGCCTGCAACACTTCGGGATCACAAAGCTCCTTCCTGAGATTGTCGACCGCAGGACACACCCATAACATGTGCCACATCGAGTCCGAAGGGCCGCCACACAGAGAACAACGGACCTCAGGGATTTGATATCCGAGGGACAAGGCTTTCTCCTGGGTCCAACAGGCCCCACAGGCATTGGCACGGATGCATCCCTTCTCGAAATAAGAGTATTTCGAGCTGCGCAAGTCTCTGATCACAGCGTCGTAGCACGCACGGCCTTGAAGACCGAGCTTCTGACCAGAAGCACGACATAGCATCCTGACCACTCCTTCGTGCAGCAACTGCTTGATGAGCTGGGGGGAATTGATGGTCAGGGAATATTCGACACCAAGGTCATTCTTCAGCTCCGCAAGCGATGTCATGGACCAGCCTATACGGCTGAGCGAAAGAAGCATGGCGCCCATCGGGCCGCGTACCCTGCGCCACGAGGTAGGTGGGCTAGCCCAGACAAGTTCCCAAGCTGCACGAAGCTCGCGAAATCCTAGGGCGAAAGGAGTCTGCTGAACCTGGGCGTCCCAAATCTCCCTGGAGTACCGAGCGATAGGTGCGATGGAAGCGTGGTATAACGGGTCGTTCTCGAGAATACACAGGGCCGTAAGGGACCTCGAACTAGACGATGGTTTGACAGCCTTTCCGAAACCAGTCCTCAAGACAAGATGGCCTGGAAGAGACCCCCCCCCGAAATGAGACCCCCCTCCCTTTATTACGAAATCTGGAGCATCCAGACCTCATAAAGTTCACACTGAGAGGCACAGATCAGAGAGCAGGGACCAGAGACTGAGGCTGAGTGCCAGCACCTTGGTCGGCGAGGACAGCGGAGAGGAATGGGAGGCAAAGAGGAGAAGGACAAAGCCTGGCGAGCTCGAGTCTTGCGTTTCCCCGAGCCTTTCCCTGGGGTCGCCCTGCTTCTTTGTCAGCGCGCGGCCCCAAGAGGGCCCCGACCCGACCCCGCCTCTGGGGGCAACTCCTCGACCCAAGTCCACCTCTCTGCTCGCCGCCCGGACAGCGGCGGCAACGTCGGAAACTGGGGCCCCTCCATGGCGATCCTCCAGCGCATTTGGGGGGACCAAACCGAAGGTGCAAGGAAAAGGCCCTCAGGGAGAACCCCGGGTGGGAATTGGGGGGTGGCCTGAATGGGGGGTAAAGGAAAGGGCCCTCAGGAAGCTCTTTTCTTTACCGCCCGATGCACGCCCCCCCCCCCCCCCTCGTAACTCCCGCCCGACCTGCAGACCTCCCTCCTCCTTGCCTCGGCCCCGCCAGGCCTGTGACGGCCCCCCCGCCCCCTGACCCCCCCCCCCCCCCCCTCGGGGCCTCGCCAGCACAGCCACGCTCTGCGGGTCGAACTCTGGATCCGGGTCCCGCAAGTGTGCCTCCGCATCGCGCGGCCCCGCGCGCGAGCGTGGCCCCAGGCATCGTTCCGACGAGGACGACGACGACGACGACGACGTCGACTTCGGCGACGGCGGCGGCCACGACGACGACGACGACGGCGGCGACAACGGCGACGATAGTGGGGGCGGTGTCGGCGATGACGACGACGACGACGGCGGAGGAGGCGAGGGCGAGGATGCCAACGACGACGACGGTGGCGTCGCCGACGACGACGACGACGACGGGGCGGCTCGGCATCGTTCCCGCCCCCTCGCCTCGCTCGAAAATCTCTCTGCCCCGTCGCAAGGGTCCGGTCGTCCACCCCGCCGCTCCTCGTGCCCTGGGACCGTCCTGGGGCAAGCCCCTGATCGTCTAAGGCCAACTTCCCTCAGGACCCCTTTCCTTCATTGCCACCTCCCCCTGGTATCTGACGTCATGTGTTTCCCGCGACGTGTGTTCAAGGGCCTCTCGGCCCCGCCCTCATGACCAGGGCTTCAACGCATTTGTTCGTCAGCGGCGAGGCAGGACTAAACTGCTCCAGCGGTCAAGCAATTCGGGGCTACAGGAGAGCGAGTTGTCCAGCATGCAAGAGGAAAGACTGCGACAGACAGAGCGGTCGCGGAGGCGGGGAAGGAGGGGGGGACACTCATAGTTGGAACGCTTCCATCCCGAGCGCGGTGGCGCGGCCAACATCGGCAGCGGGGACTGTGGCCGCGGCCGGGCCGCGGCGTCGGTGCCTCCACGGGCGCTGCCGGTGCCTGGCGCGCGGAAAGCAAGGGAACGCACAGCGGAACCGTCCATGCGTGCGCCGATCAGGTTATGCAAGAGACGAAAAAAGGACAATCCAGGTCTCTGCCGACAACAAAATGCTGTACCCGCTGGGTATAGGGCGAGGGCCGCGGCGAGGCGCAGGCTCCATAAACGCCACAAACAGGGAGAGCTGCCAGCCGAGGCTGCAGAGACGGCGCCATGGCGGCGCGCAGAGGGAGGGGTGGAAAGGCGCGGGGGAAGGGAGGGAAGGGCAGGAGGGGGGAGCGCCCCGCCTGCGGGGAAACCCCAGCAGACGAGGCGACGGCGCCAGGCCGTCCAACGCCAGCGCCGCAGCTGCGAGGCGGGCGGCACCAAAAACGCGACGCTGGGCGCGTCGCACGTCGCGCCAGGGAGCAAAACTATGGTCAGGGCCGATGGAGGCCACGCGCCGTCCGGGGAGGGCAGCGCATGGTCGGGCGAAGGGCACCTGAGCGGCGACCGGTTATAAAACTGTGGCCGAAGGCGGTGGGAGGCTACTCGCTGTCTGGGTGGACAACGCATGGGCCTGTCTAGGGGCACCTAATCGGTGCAGCTTCCAGTGCGCACTTGCTGGATGAATCCTTCTCGCGCGCGCACGCGCTGGCCCGCGCGACCGGGCCCCGCTGGAGGAAGCAGCGGAGGAAGGGGGCGTCGCGCAAGCTGGGGTCGCGGGCGCCACCGCCACGCAGAGCGAAGAACCTTTGCCAAGCCCTTCGCCGCCTATCTGCTGCGAACTTCTGACCCAGGCCACGAGGCCCCCCTTCGACCTGAGGAAGTCGAGCAGAACGTGTGCTGGGACATCCCCGGGGCGCGCCCGCCCCTTGCCCTGCGTCCTATAGTCGAGGTAAACGAATCCCATTGGACGCGGCTGTCTGGCAACGCGGTCCAGGCGCTCTCGACGAGTACTTGCCGTCGCTCGGACGTCCATTTCCCGTGCATGTTTCCCGATTTCGTGCGTGTTTTTACCTAACAGCGAAGACTGATAGGTTTCTAGTGGTCTCAAAAGAGAGCAGCAGATGACTCCACAGGGGGGTCTGGGCGGGTGCCGGACAGGGTGCCGCAGAGTTCGTTTTAAGCCAACAGTCACACACTTCGTGCTCTTCGACCTCCCAGAACTCCATTCCCGGGCCACATTCTGAATGCCCGGAGCCAACTGTAGGCCACTTCGTGCTCTTCGACTTCCCAGAACTCCATTCCCGGGCCACATTTTGAATGCCCGGAGCCAACTGTAGGCCACTTCGTGGTCTTCGAGTCCCCAGAACTCCATTCCCGGGCCACATTTTGAATGCCCGGAGCCAACTGTAGGCCACTTCGTGCTCTTCGATTCCCAGAACTCCATTCCCGGGCCACATTTTGAATGCCCGGAGCCAACTGTAGGCCACTTCGTGCTCTTCGATTTCCCAGAACTCCATTCCCGGGCCACATTTTGGATGCCCGGAGCCAACTGTAGGCCACTTCGTGCTCTTCAAGTTCCCAGAACTCCATTCCTGGGCATGATTTTGAATGCCCGGAGCCAACTGTAGGCCACTTCGTGTTCTTCTAGTTCCCAGAACTCCATTCCTGGGCCACATTTTGAATGCTGAGGCAGGCTGATGCTGCGGCCGAGGCAGGCTGAGGCTGAGGCAGGCTGAGGCTGAGGCCGAGGCTGAAGGCAGACTGAGGCTGAGGCTGAAGCAGACTGAGGCTGAGGCTGAGGCAGGCTGAGGCTGAGGCTGAAGCAGGCTGATGCTGAGGCAGGCTGAGGCTGAGGCTGAGGCTGATGCAGGCTGAGGCTGAGGCAGGCTGAGGCTGAGGCCGAGGCTGAAGGCAGACTGAGGCTGAGGCTGAAGCAGGCTGAGGCTGAGGCTGAGGCAGGCTGAGGCTGAGGCAGGCTGAGGCTGAGGCTGAGGCAGGCTGAGGCTGAGGCTGTGACTGCGACTGCCGTTGCCGCTGCGACTGTCATCGCGAATGCGACTACGACTGCGAGAACAGCAGAATTCTACAACTGGATTTTCGTCTGAATCTTAAGGGGAATGCTTTCATATATGCTTCTACACATCGCTGTTAGGTTGCTTTGCCGGGATAATTTTTACCTAACAGCGAAGACTGATAGGTTTCTAGTGGTCTCAAAAGAGAGCACAGATGACTCCACAGGGGGGTCTGGGCGGGTGCCGGACAGGGTGCCGCAGAAGTCGTTTTAAGCCAACAGTCACACACTTCGTGCTCTTCGACCTCCCAGAACTCCATTCCCGGGCCACATTCTGAATGCCCGGAGCCAACTGTAGGCCACTTCGTGCTCTTCGACTTCCCAGAACTCCATTCCCGGGCCACATTTTGAATGCCCGGAGCCAACTGTAGGCCACTTCGTGGTCTTCGAGTCCCCAGAACTCCATTCCCGGGCCACATTTTGAATGCCCGGAGCCAACTGTAGGCCACTTCGTGCTCTTCGAGTTCCCAGAACTCCATTCCCGGGCCACATTTTGAATGCCCGGAGCCAACTGTAGGCCACTTCGTGGTCTTCGAGTTCCCAGAACTCCATTCCCGGGCCACATTTTGAATGCCCGTAGCCAACTGTAGGCAACTTCGTGCTCTTCGACTTCCCAGAACTCCCATTCCTGGGCCACACTTTCAGCAGGGGCAAGAGCACGACGAGGAGGAGGACGAGCAAGACCAGGAGGACGAGGACGAGCAGGAGCAGGACGAGGAGCAGGAGGAGCAGGAGAAGAAGGACGAGCAGGAGGAGGAGGAGGACGAGCAGGAGGAGGAGGACGGGAGGAGGAGGACGACCAGGAAGAGGAGGAGGAGGAGGAGGAGGAGGGGAGGGGGAGGACTACCAGGAGGAGGAGGAGGAGGAGGAGGAGGAGGAGGAAGAGGAGGAGGAGGACGAGGAGGAGGAGGAGGAGGAGGACGAGGAGGAGGAGGGGGGGGGAGAGCACCAGGAGGAGGAGAACGAGGACCACCAGGAGGAGGAGGAGGAGGAGGAGGAGGAGGAGGAGGAGGAGGAGGAGGAGGAGAGAACTACCTACAGGAGGACATGGGCCGGCTGGCTGTAGGTTGCTTTGCCGGGATAATTTTTGCTCGATGGTCCAGGATGGTCCTCGATAGTTCTCGCAGAGAAAAAATGCACACGTCCGAGCGATGCCAAGTATTGGACGCGGGTGGCTGGCAACGCGGTCCAGGCGGTCCCGACGAGCAGCAGGAGCGCGCCCGTGCAGGCAGAGGCGGCCCCCCGCGCCGGCTGGCGCTGGAGCGGCCCGCGGGCGCCAGGGCCGCCCGCGGCCGCCGTCGCGGGGGAGGAGCGAGTGGCCTCAGAGGCGGGCGGAGGGCTCGCGCACGGATGCTCGTTCGCGATGGCCCGGTCGCCGGCTTGAGCGGCTGACTTGGCGGGGCGTGGGCCGCGGGCCAAACGCGGGGGGGGGGGCGTCGGGGAAGGTGTCGGGGAGGGAGCCGCGAGTGACGTCGTCGCGAAGGCCGTCGGTCGGGGCGTCGTCGGGGGGGGGGGTGTCGGGAGGAGCGCGAGGCTGAACGCCGGAACTGGCGTCGGATGGGGCGTTGGGCCCAGGCGCGTCGGGCTCGACATCGCTGTCGTCGGCTTGATCCGCCCAGCAGAGTCCGTCTGGCCGCGCACGGTTGCAGGGCTGGCGTTCATCTGGCTGCTCACTGTCGCGCTGCTGGAGTCCAGCGTGTTGCGCGAGGTCGACCTGTTGAGGTCCGCATGGGTGCGTACCCTGCCCGTGGTCGCGAAGCAGGAGTCCGTCGCCCCGCTCCCGATGGCGCTGCTGTCGCCCGCCCTGGTGCTCACGGCTCCGCAGCTGGGCCCCGCCTCCCAGCTGCGGCGACGAGGGCTCTTCAGGACGAGCAGCGGTCAAACTTGGGTGCGCCGCTGGGGTCAGAACTGCAGGGGGGGCATTGCGTCAAGACGCTTGGTGCTTGCACACCTGTAAGCAACCCCGCGCGTCAAGACGAGAGGTGGCGACACCCTAGAAGTCAAGACTTTGGGCGGCGAAGGTTGCAGGCGGTCCTACAGTTCTCCTCGATCTCTGACCCTGGGGCGCACCCAAGGTCAAACAATCCACCCCTTCACGGACGCCCCATGAAGTCGGCCGCGGCGACGAGGGCTCCCCAGGACGCACAACGGCGCCAGGATCCCCCCCTCCTCCGCGCCCTCTGAAATCCCCCCCTTCGCGGAAATCCCCGCCGCCCCTGGGTCCGCCCAGGAAGACTCCCATGG